ATCCCACCACCACCACCACCACCACCACCACCACCACAAAAAATTTAAAAAAAAAAAAGAATTAAAAAAAAAATTAAAAAAAATACCACAGGAACGCAAAGCAAATATACATGTAAATAAATTGGTATCAAACCACATTTTGACAGAAAATGATGATATTTTTCTTTTCAGTCAAACAAAAAAATTGAAGTTCTAAATCTGGAGGGAAATTGGATCCTCGGAGAGGGATCGGAATACTTAGCAAGGATGCTGATGGGAAACTTTTGCATCACTGAGCTGGTAGGTATACCTGATGTTATCATGTTTTTTTTAAACCACACTGTTTAGCATCAAACAGTTCCATATAAAATAATTAAAATGCCATCGATTAGTTGTCTTCATAGCTAAGCAGTTGGACAAAGTTTATGGGATACTTTTCAGACTAGTCGTTTTGATCTATAAAGATGACTGTTTCTTGTACATTACCTAAGATTGGAGAAAATACTAACCATGAAAGTAATTTCGTTTAATTTGGTATTTTATAGTTTTCATTTATAAAAACAAAACCAATAGTTTACATTTCTTGAAACAACAATATGATCACCATATTCTTACTGTAGTAAGTCCAAAAACGTATTTGGAAATGAGTATCAGAAAACCTAACATGTCTTTTTTATTTCAAGTTATTACTTAGGATAACAGTTACATACTTGTGCTTATAGTATCTCGCGGAAAACAGAATTGGCAACACTGGTGCTGAAGCAATGGCAGATCTGCTGTCAAAGAATGACGTCATCGTGACGATTGACCTCTCCGGAAACGAGATAGAGGACAGCGGCGCCGAAAAGCTTTGTACCACACTTCTGGTCAGTGTTTCTTGTATCATGAACATCCATTGCATTCCTGGAAGGTAACGGGAGGTCTAATAAACAATATAGTTTTGCATGCGTTTTGCATCCTTAGCTTGCAATTCCACAATATGTCATCACTTTGGATAGATGTCTGAATATTATCGCTTTTTAAATATTATAGCCCAGTGTCACTGATTTCCATTTCATTTGAATTGTGTGTTTTCACCAAGGGCTGTATGGAACTATTCTTTGTCTGTTGAAATGGTTTTTTTAATCTGTTTATGTTTACATGACACACGTGTGTTTGACCCTGTCGGTGGACTATCAGTCCACGTACACGTGGTTAGTCGTAACCTTAAATTCTCTGTTTAAGCCAAGACTTGTGAAAGTTGTTACGTCATGAAGAGTCCATAGTCACGTTTTACTTCTGCCGTAACTTTACTTGTTGCTAAGCAATCCAATCAAGCATTCATAAGATCTCGTTATAATCACAGAAAAACCCGTCAGTCAAGCATCTCTACCTAGCCAACAACCGTTTAGAGGAGAGGGCAGCTATATCTCTTAGGGAATTACTTTCACAAAATGAGGTCATCGAAACACTGGACTTGAGTTGGAACCATTTCCGGACTAAGGGTGCAGTGGCGTTGGGTGAAGGACTTATGGTAGGCCATTCTAATAATCATATCTTATGAGATCGATCTTATATCACAATGCATTGTCAGGGAGATTTAGAATTGCCTTTTTCTATAGACATTTCAAGGTTATACGGCAACCGGATTAGATTATAAAGGAAAATAATTCCAATGTCAAAAATCAAGGACACAATGTTAACTAAAACAAAAATACCACAGACACTGGAAAGACATAGAAAAAACATTATTCACTGCCTCTGTTGGATTTTTATTTTGCAAAACCTTAACTTACAGGGTTAGGTTAGTCGTGTTGGGGTAAAGCGTGTTTTTATTTAACTTTTAAACATGAATCGGTACAATGCTATAGTATTATTTTTGGTCTATCACATATATATATTGTTTGTTTTTGCTGGAATTCTCACATGCAATGTGCGTTTCATTTTATTAGGAAAACTACGGATTAAGGAGTATGAAGTTAGCCATGAACGGACTCGGCCGAGATGGCTCAGAAGCAATTGGAAAAGCCTTGAAAGTAAACAGGACCCTTAAAGATCTAAATATAGCCCACAACAGAATCCCGGAACGAGGCGCCATCATGATCGCAGCAGGATTACAAACTAACGACTGCCTCGAAACACTACGAGTAAGCGATATCCTGTCTAATTTCGCTGTGTGCATAAAAGGGAAAACAATTTGCTCAGATAAATCTATTATTTTTTTTCTTCTCGATTAACGTTATTAAAAAAAATGCATGGACTGTTTACATACGTCAAAGCATATTTTTTTGTCGTTGATAGCTTTATCATTATTTTTTTAAATAATATGCGAACATAAAATCATACTTACTGATCCTACAGATCGGCTCCAACCCTCTAGGACCTGCTGGACCGGTAGCCATAATAACAGAGGTCAGCAGAAACGACGTGAGCTCAATAGATACGTTGGACTTTTCGGTAAGAGTACACATTTTGCTAAGTAACAAAGGAAAGAATGGAAGTTGAAACTATTTCACTCGTTAAGTTTCAATGATTATATGCGTACAATTGTAGCTCGTTAAAGTGGTCGGTAGTAATTAGATATAAACATGTTTTAGTCAAATTATCAGTCTTACGTTATAAAAGTCTGAGATGGTCGCGTTAATTTGACTAAAACTTGAAAAAACACCTGATCTGTTTCAAGAAAACACTGTTTTTGGCTCCAATAGTGAAGTTAGAATAAATTAAAAGTTAAGCTAGTGTTGTAAAAGTAACATTAAACTTGTTTGTGAGTTCTCGCCTGAATGCTTATACAAATACTTAATCCAGACTTTAAAAATCACATCTGTACAAATCAATATAATTAGGCAAAATATATGAACAAATGAAACATTTACAAAGAGACCTTTGATCAAGACCAAAGAGATTAATACCAACATCATGAATGACCATTTCAAGGCGATCCTCACTTTACTAGTTGTGCCTGATTATAATTACACACATTTGCTTTAAGTGCATGGAACCGAATAGCGGATACATTATCCTATATTTAAACAGTCTTATGCATAGGTTTCATGGAGGATGACCGTTCTAAATATTGTCAGTGGCCGTATTAAAAAACAGTCACGCGCAACTTTTCAATTCATTTGAGTGATCAGCATCATTAATTTATAAACGGCGTGTCAGGTCGCGTAGGACAATTTTTGAGAAGTTAAAATGATTAATTAATATGTAAAAACTCTACAGCTATGTTTATATATGTATACTCAAATTACATTTATGCTTTTAATATTCATATATTGCTTCGTCTAAATTAAGTTCAGTGATAATAGAGCTTATCACTTGTAAAGGTCAAGTATTTATTATATTAATATATGGCGGATTAACGAACGTGGCGGAGGAGCTCGATATGAAAGGGCCCCGATATTCTAAATGCCCTTTGGTTGATTAACATTCTATATATTTACATTTTTCTGTATACTTCCATTACAATGCATTGAGAAGGCAAATTTTGTTGTGAAACTATAACAATACTTGCTATTGTAATGTCAACAATCTATTTTATGACGTCATCAGTTTTATTGTTGTCAACACTTGATTTGCTGTTCAGCTACTCTTTTTAAATGTAAATATAAACAATTAATTTTTCAGTGAATATTGTTACACACATTTCTGTTGCTCTCACACTTACATCAACCCCTGCCTTGTTAAGTTTGTCATCAATAACAATGTGTGTTTTAGGACAATAACACCATTTGCTAAAACAATCATTGCTTAAATCTACGCTACACCTCCACCGTTTAATGTCTGATGTGTGAGTCAATAGTCTGGTGCTAGAGATGTTAGAGAACATGTTAATTCTTTGTAAAATAAAAGACGCATTGTTTTTGTTTTAATTCCCTATCTTGAGAAGAATAAAACAATGACCACAACTCGCAGTCAGAATACCACTGTATCTTACCTATGAAATATTAGTATAGTTTCGTTGCTCTTGTGGTTTTATTTTTATGTTCCCTATTTACTTTTCTCAGAATGTGTTGGTCACAACTGAATTCCAGAAAGTTCAGGAAAATCTTGAAGCTTCACGTTCGATAACAATAACACATGGAGGTATAGTTGGAGAGAAATATGAAATGGATTATTTGACCCATGACCCCTTGGCAGAGTTCAGACGTGATCCTATTAACAGACTGTTTGAATACGCAAAGGACACGGGATATCGACTCATTGATCTATTTAAGGACTTCGACAAAGACAAAAGCAATTCAATCAGCAAGGACGAATTCATCATTGGGATCAAGGTAAATTGATTCAGCAACTGACAAACCATCTATAAACATATCTAAATACTTTCGCGATCACGTAATCAGGGTATTTATGATGTAGCATTGTATTAAATCAATGTTACCACAATGTATTTGGTATTTAAATTATTCCACAAGCGGTGTAATACTCTCCAAATTAACCCATTGTAATTAAGGTAAATGGTACTAACTAGTCATACTATATCATAACACCTGTTACTACAGTGAAATATTATTTATGACCTTTTCAAAAGAGGTATTTTACAAAAAGCACATTTTGCACTGCATTTTACTGAATATAACTGTTTCTAGAATGTTGTTTATAAACCACTCAGGACCTTAACATAGCCAATCCAACACTTCACAAGTTTTTCCATCCAGGAATTAAAACCTTGCCTTTAACAGTATAATGTTGCAAGGAAATTCGTTTATATCAACAGCGGATAAGTATTTATGTCACTCTTTTTTATTCTGGCATAGGAAACTTCGACATGTATAGTCCTATAATCGCCAATGAGTTGTGTATGGTTATGAACAGTGGGAAATCCAAGTGAATGGCAAGAAAATACAACAGTTTATATTGACTATTTGTCTGATTGATTCGTACAGACAAAGAAAACACGCTTTTAAATTTTCGGGTAGAAACGGTGTTTCAAAATACATACACATTAGGAAATGAAACCAAGAAAAAGAAATTCTGAGGCAATTTATCCAAATGTATCTTGTATTTTACAGAGGGCTGGTATGAAAATCAGTGTTCGACAAATGGAAATATTAATTGAGAAACTGGACAAAAATAAAGACGGTTCCGTAGATTTTGGGTACGTACACGTTTAAAATAATAAAGTTAACCATAAGATGGAATAGAGAATGTCTAAGGAGACATTGCAACGTCATAACATCAATGTTTCTTCTGATAAAATTCGGTGAATAAGATGTTGAACAAAAAGAGCATGTTGAAACGAAGAAGCAGGGACTCTATTTGGATACACCACAGTGGGCCGGTTCTGAAGTGAGCTGTGGGGGCTGTTAGTGTGGGATACATGTACTTTCGCACATCTATGAACAGGTACTGAACAAAGCGCACTAGAATCGACCTCCTTATTGTATTATCATTTCGTACATATTTTACACTTTTGTGTACATTTGCGTTACAGAGTATACGCAGTACTTGTCTGTAAAACGTCATACATATTTATTTTTCTTGTTGTGCTTCATAAACCATATACAATAGCATATATCTAATTAAGATAAAAATAACGTAACATTTCTCTAATGTCTACGTCTAGAAACAGGCCCTTTAGCCTAGCCAACAATGGCGGGCCTATTACTGACACCTTTCAGATATAAAGGAAGCAATTATTTTAGAAACAAATTATAACGCGTCGTTGAAAAACCATATATTATGCATGAATCAAGCTGAATGAAAATTCTGTCGGCAGCAACAACAGCATTGACTATTTAGTTTAAAAATCTATATTTCAATGTCATTTGTTATGTTTTTGAATTTTAAGGAAAATTGCTGTTTCTTAGATATCCAATATGAAAGTTTGAAGGCTGTATGTAGTCAAGAAAAATATGACTAACTTTATCGAAGCGTTTCAAATCATTAATCGTGTAACTTATCCGTGTTAAGTATATCTTTATAGATTCCAAGGTAAAATAATAATGTTTGAAATTGTTTTTCAGAGAGCTTATTGATGCAGATGCAGCGAACCGACAGCAACAACGAAAGCTGATGAAGACCCGAGAATCCACAATGTCGAGAGATACCAGGCCTGAATTTCGGTTAGAGAGAACTGAATCCATACTGACTAAGGAAATGTTAGAAGGCGTTTGACACGAGTCGATATACAATATATACAGGGATACCTGCATTTGTTAACATTACTTATTAACCCGCTGTTAAAAATAGTGTTAACAAAAAGACATGAACCGCGCAGGAGGACTTCCTTACGATGACTTTCTCACAATATTGGACATTTGAGTTACCTTAATCAATAACAATGTGTTTGTTGTAATATCTATGTTACAACATTGGACATTGGAGTAACCTTAATCAATTACAATGTGTTTGTTGTTATAGCTATGTTACAACATTGGACATTGGAGTTACCTTAATCAATTACAATGTGTTTGTTGTAATATCTATGTTACAACATTGGACATTGGAGTTACATTAATCAATTACAGTTTGTTTGTTGTAATATCTATGTTACAACATTGGACATTGGAGTTTCCTTAATCAATTACAATGTGTTTGTTGTAATATCTATGTTACAACATTGGACATTTGAGTTACCTTAATCAATTGCAATTTGTTTGTTGTAATATCTATGTTACAACATTGGACATTGGAGTTACCTTAATCAATTACAGTGTGTTTGTTGTAATGTCTATGTTACAACATTGGACATTTGAGTTACCTTAATCAATTACAATGTGTTTGTTGTAATGTCTATGTTACAACATTGGACATTTGAGTTACCTTAATCAATTGCAATGTGTTTGTTGTTATATCTATGTTACAACATTGGACATTTGAGTTACCTTAATCAATTACAGTTTGTTTGTTGTAATATCTATGTTAAATTTCCATGTATTATGTTCGTTTTTATCATATTATAATACTACATGTTTAGCCTACCTCTGACCGAGAAGTGCAACAATCGGTTCATTGTTGTCTGATCAATTAAAGCACATGCAACGTCATTTCTGTACGAACAAGTACAGATTGTATGTCATGCTTAACCACATTGTGACTAGAAGTCGACCTGAAGCAGGAACTAGTAACCCCTATGAAGGGACACATATATAAATGATTGTATAGCTGCAGAGAGTTGGATGTGCATCGCCAAATATTGAATGTTGTAGACGGTCCACTACTTAAGTTGTGGTATTCATGAACTTGGATAATAGTATGACATATATTGGTTCGTTGTATATTTTGTATATATGAAAGACGACATATCCATCCCATAAATGAGTCAACAATTTAATAAACGTAATATATAATGAACGTTGCATGTTTGTATATATAAGCTTATATTTCTGTTGTTATTTACCTGTATCTATACTATTTCAATTAAAAGATATGTATTGGGTAATGAAATATATCATTAGATTTCAATCGAGTTTCCTGTCATTATTTCAATTCAACAAGCTTATGGGTCATCTGACATAATCAATAAAAATATGTAATGCAAACAGAAGAATAACAGAAAAGGGCAATGGCTTATATAAGTAATAGCTTAGTTATATTGACAAAGATTTGATATTCCTCGTGTTCAACGTTTACGCCCCTTAGCTTGTCTGGTAAGATCCTTGAATATTTTAATCCGAGACCTGCCGATGATTTGAATTCGGGGCCCGTATTCATGAAACCATTTTCATGCTCAAACACATATTTTGTGCTCAAGTCCAATTTCCTGTGCCAGTGATAAATTGATAAAATAATCATATTTCGTCGATTACAAAGTGTATGTAAAAGAAATTTCGAGAAACTTTAAGACAAATACTGTTTTCAATGTTTACACTTGACTTTTTTAACCTTGTTTATGAAGTCAACTTATATAGTCACATGGTGCCATGTCAAAAGTAGGCTTTTAACGTAGAAAATAGTTCTTCATATCGAAACAATGTCGCTTTAGGAAAAGGAGGTATCTTAAAAATTTCGCGCTACAGGGTTGAGACAACTAAATATATATAGTATGTCCTAAATGTTCGGCCTTAGGCATAGCAGGGCTGAACATTTAATAATCTTACCTTTGATATATGTATTCTATTTTACCCCGTAGTGGAGAACAATCTTAAGTCTTTATCCATGTAGAAAATGATGTAATCCCAATCCTCAATAGGATGGTTTAGCAAAATCGACAGCGCTGTACGCCGATTGCCCTGTTATTATTTGTCGTCAATTATAAACTATGATGTCCATCCATTGTTTTAATTGTGACGTTACAAGATCGTGTGACTCCTTAATACCCTATGGGTAACGGGTAAACAAACAAATCACTAACATTTAAACTTGGAGTCATATCAGCGTTACAGAAATAATGTCAGGGGATCAAGATCTGATTGAAAAATTCTTGTTGTACGTTGATGTAGTGTGGAAATAATTATAAACGTGTATTCGCATCATTTGTTTTTCGTACATCACAAATACAGTCTTGCGATTGACACATTAACACATTGACGAAGACAAATATTATCTAAAGCTTCTTACTATACACATTATGGTTGAAGCAACATATGAATAGCATAGCAACACAAGACATAGTAAAGGTGCAATAACTCAGATAGAAATCACGGAACCAGTATGAGAAAACGTATGATACGGTTTCATGAATGACAGTGATGCGCATTAACAGTCACACATGCGAGCTGCTCCTGGGTTCATGGGTTGTGATGGAAACTGGAGAACAAGTTTCCCAGACAATAATGCTTTTAAGGATAAAGATACAGACGGTAAGGGCGATTCAATTATTAGAAATGGTCTTTGAGGAGCATATCATACATATTTTAAAAGGAACAAAACGCATAATAAATCAACAAGACATTTTCGTTAAAATAAAGAAGTTGCACAGATGGAGGTATTTAGTTGTGGTATTAAAGGATAAAATTAGAAACAGATAATTACTCTGCGTCAATTATTTGTGTTAACTCATAAAGCAGTATAAAGAAAGACAAACAAATAATGATAAATTCTTAATAGATATAAAAATGTTTTATGAAAATATAATGTACTTTAGGTGTGACACATGCGATGAAGGGGAAGTTCACCGTTCAGTTTCGCTTCCGAACTTTTGTTGTTGACATAGCTTTTTCCGTTTCAGTAGTATCTCCTCTGTTCCTTTTGTGTGTATATATATATATATACATATGCAACATTTGATATAGCGCCTTATCTAGCTAACATAAGCCACTCTAAAGCGCTTAACAGTACATAGATATACAATTAATACAATTAGCATATACATTAATCGATACAATATTTGAGGAATTCGCAGTAGCTGCCTTTTCATGCGCTAACTACTAGTCCTATGTCACCTGGCTAATATCTCCCCATGTGTGTATGCCTGCGTATGTGTTAGATATGTTATGTGTTCTGTTTGTAGTGGGACCGTGCTTCCGATGGCATCATGTATAGTGGCACCTCACTTGAATGCTACAGCACAGATACCACAACATCCACCCAAGACCAATGTATACTCCACTTCGGTTGTTGCTCGACCAATCCGCCCATAAATGTATGTGTGTGTTATCTTCAATAATTTGATAATCAATCAACGATTATAAATTTGCTTACGGTCGTCACCATAAACCTTTCTCTCAATTTGATTCTGCGATACAAAACACATCCTTTTTATTTGGATTATGTATATGGCAACTAACGAGTATTGTTTTAGTTAACATAGTACACCATGACCTCCTGTAGAACTACTTGTTTCGTCTATGGTTTTATAGAGACAGACCGTGCCATTACCATTATATTATTGTATGCTTAAACTATAGTGTATAATGTAACTAGGTACGGAAACTAATACATTCTTTATTAACATGTAGATTGTTTTATCGTCGTTAATATAACCGGTCAATCTTTAATCCGAATGTCTTAAGAGTATAAAATAATCCAAATTGCTAGTTAAATCGATACATTTTATAGCGTTCAACCTCGACATTGTATCGAAAAGAGATAATTAGGAATAGTTTGGTTTTGCTTTTTATGTATTAGTCATGTCCTTTTGACAACACTTACAAATCCATGCACGTTTCAAATATGGAACTACAAATTGTACATATTTTACCTGTAGTTATACTTACTCACATAATTACACATTATCTAAAATTATATGAACTCTTAAGTTTTCTACTGTCAGGGTAACACGGACTAGTCTAATTTAGAATTCCGTCGTTGTTTGTTGGTTTGTTTGTTTATGTTTAACGGCCCATCGACGGCTGTGGTCATTTAGGGCCATGGTGATTTATTTATTTATTTTATTTTTTAAACAAACATGTGAGTAGCGAAGATAAATTCAGATAAAATGGTTCGTTTTAAAAGCATTCGCATTGTATGTGTAGATAATTAAAATAAAAAGGGGTTACAATAATAAAAGAGATAACGAATGGATGATATGGAATATGTGATATATATATAACGTCAAAAAGGGTAATGTGGGTTAAAAGACATCAGAGTCTATAGAATAGACCGATGTCTTTCAAATAGTTAAATAATGCCTGCGAGTCCTCGGAACTGAAAAGAGTTTTCATATCCGTGACTCGAAAGTAGTTATCTCGAATGTGTTTAAAATCGGAACATTCTATTAAAAAATGTTTGTCGTTCTTGTTCAGATGCGGTTTACTTATTGTATTGGTCGGTAGTTCGTGGGAGAGGTCATTCAATGTTAGATACATGGAAACTTGTATAAGAGTTAACTCCCTTATATCATATCACGTTTCTATTTGGTGCACTTCTCTCACAATGCTGTTTATTTATAGTGATATGGAATAAACAACATCGTTATAATCACGTATTCATTAAAACTGCATTTTGTCATGAAATGTGGTAATATATGGTGGCTTGTAGTTTCTGTTTACTTATCGTGCTTCCCGTATAATTTACCATAACAAGAAAATCATAAGACTCTCGCCATGTGCTGGTATTATGTCACTTAATATCAAGGCAATTATGAGTCGTTTGACATTGCTCTTTACTACCATACATTTACCTTGTGGTTCTGCAATGTGATAGTTTAAGTCTATTTACAGGTTTTTGCGATATCATTAGGGAGTGATAAAGGAATAATACTTGTTACAAACTGCATGCTGTAAGAGGCCCTGAACTACTGTGTAAACTCCCTGAACTACTGTGAGAACTCCCTGAATTACTGTGAGAACTCCCGAACTACTGTGAGAACTCCCTGAACTACTGTGAGAACTCCCTGAACTACTGTGAGAACTCCCTGAACTACTGTGAGAACTCCCTGAACTACTATGAGAACTCCCTGAACTACTGTGAGAACTCCCTACAGCAGTGCGGGATTCGCTTATTTGTGCCCTTAGTGTAAACATATTGTATTGCCAAGCAAATGGATCGGGCACAAGTTATCAAACTTATATTAAGCCCTTTCCTAGCAAATTACAAGCATATATTTACAATAGTACAACAAGATGTCAGAATTATAATATATATATTTCATTTCAGTATTATGTTTAATTTTCTGTTACCTCCATATTTAAAAGTTTGAACACACATGTCTTCAGCTGTAATGAAAGATTCTTGAGTTGATTTCAGTTTATTTTTTAGCTGGTTTAGGGATACAGAATTTAAAATAGTGGTATTATTATTGTTCAATTGATAAGTAATATCAGCGAAAAAACTTCTGAGATAAAGGTTAGTTCTAGCTCTTGGTTCATTAATTAGCCTTGGTTGTCTTATATTATATATATTTTCCTCTGGAGTTCTGATCAGTGGTTGAAGAATATCTATTAAATATTGGGGTGCATCATGTTGTAGTATTTTATATAAAAGTATTAGTTTCTGATTATTTCTTCTTTTCTTAAAAGTATCCCACCCAGTTTCTTTGTAGATAATAATGTGACTTGTGCCCCTTCTTATACCTGTAATTATTCTGGCTGTTTCTAATTGTAGGGATTCTAGTAGATTTTCCTCTGTTGAAGTACAGTTGTCTCATATAACACTCGCATATTCTAATATAGGCCTTATAAATATCAAATAAATAGGCTCGAGTGATTTTCTATCAATTTTATGCTTAAGTAATCTCAATATATTTATACGTTTAAATGATTTTTCATAAATGTAGTTAATATGGTCTCTCCATCCACCTATGTCATTAAATAAAAGACCTAAATGTTTATGTTGTTTTACATTACTTTGATATTGTTATTGAAAATAAGGTTTGGATGAGAAATAGTTGCATTGGGTTTTTTACTGACTATTAATTATTCAGTTTTGTTTGGATTTAATAGTATTCCCCATTTCTCTGCCCAGTTTGAAATATTTTCAAGGTCTTGGTTAAGTTGGATAGCTACCTGAATAGAGTCATTGTTAATCAAAGCATATAATGATGTGTCATCAGCGAATAATTTAATTTTAGATTGGACTTCTTCTTCAAGGTCATTTATGTAAATATATAGATATGGACCAAGGACAGACCCTTGTGGTACACCGGCTTTAAGAGTTTAAGAGATATTGACTTGTTAAAAAGAATATGTAGAGGTCTAGCTAGTGATTGAGTTGGTCGATTACATCTTGTTCTGATATCTCAATAGAATGAAGTGAGTGAGGAAAGTTAGGATTGATTTCAGGTAGATCAGCATCAGTTTTGTTAGTGGTTGATATTGAGGAGAAGTATTCATTAAAACATTCTTTGTCGAGTGGATGAATGTTAATATTGTTATTAGAAATAATTGGTGAGTTGTCATTTTGTTTGTTTTCACCATTAATTATAGTTTTGGCTATTTTCCGCCACTTACCAGGTGATAAGGATTGGTCAGTTAGGGAACTATGCAGTTTATCTAGATATAATTCTTTTGCTTTCCTGATAAGGGAGATAACAATATTGCGGAGTTGTCTAAACTTAGTCCATGCCTGGTTAGTATTAGTTTGTTTGTCTTTATGATGGTCTCTGTTACGATGTCTCATTTTCAATCGAATCTCATTGTTCATCCATTTTTTATCATCTGGTCTTATCTAAATCGTTTTTGTTGGTACATATTTATCAATCGTTGGGTGAGTTTTTGATTTATAGTTTGGTTTATAGATTTAACATCTTGGTTAGCAAGTTCATTAAGATCAATGTGAGACATAAATGTGTTTGCATTAATAAAATCAGCGTCACTGTAGTTATAAAAAGTCTTTTGAAAAGCTCTTCTTTTAAGGGTTTTATATGTAATTTCAGCTCTACATGGACAGTGATCACTGCAATAAGGTGCATTTACTTCAACATTTTTTATTATGTTTTGGTTATTGGATAATATAACATCAATGCTTGTAGCAGATGTTTCAGTTATTCGTGTGGGTTCATATACAGCATTAGTTATGCAATATAATTGTAAGATACGTTTTAATTGGGAATTGGGGTTAAGACTCAACATATTCTGATTTATATCACCTGCAATTATATAATCTTTGTTTAGATTAGAAATCTTATTAAGTTTGTTATCAAGCAAATCCCAGTATGATACCAAAGAGTTTAGTGGTCGGTATAGACATCCAATAAGGATAATTTTGCCATTTAATTTCAATTTAAGCCATAATATTTCAAGAGCATCATCTTCTAAGTCAAGTCGTCGTTTGGCATACATATTACTATTGATATAAATAAGAACACCACCTCCTCTTTGATTTGCCCTGTCTTTTCTGAATAGTTGGTGGCTCTATAATAATAGGTCACTATAAGATACACTATCATTTAGGTGAGTTTCAGTTAGGCATATTATATCAAAATTGGGACATTCACTTTCTACAATATCAAGTTTATTTCTAAGGGAGCAGATATTTAAGTTGCACAATGAAATATTTGCAAATTGGTACTTATCATTATTAACATAAGAGAGTGGACCCTCGTTGGTGTGAACATCCATAGATATTATAAGTAGGTTCATTCTAATTACAAGGTAGTATGCTAGGTATAATATAATGTACCATGTGAGACCCTTTTGGAAGTAGTTGTTCGTGTTCTCGATGCTGTATCCATGCATCACGGATGTTGGTTTAGAACCTTTAGCCATGGTCAATTACTAGTGATGCATATACACAGTATCGAGGAAAGGGAACTTACATCTTATTATTTAAACATTTCATTCTTGTATCAGAGACAGATGTACATAAACATATATATATGGCAACACACACAAACAAAAAAGTGCTAAACATTCAATTAACATTGACATAAGTATGTACAAATTTCACGGTATGTTATCCATGATGGAATAATAAATAAAGATATGCAAGATCTTACTTATAACACATGGTCACTAGTGGTGTGGATGGTGATCGATCCCTTCATTCGTTTGATCAGTTGGAAAAAACGTCCATCACGGCCACCGGAAGTGTATCCGACATATGAATATATATCTATACACTACTTTATTTTTAAAACACTTTAATTTATAAATTGAAATTATAAGAGAGAGGGACAGAGAGAGAAGTGGGGGAGAGGGGGGAGGGGGGGGGGGCTAATAGTCTGTAATTATAATACATACATCCTCATCATTATTAATGTATGACAGAGGGTATCTGCCTCCAAAGCAACAGAAAGTATAAAAAAAGCATATCCGACCATGTGGTTGTTCTTTCTCCATGCAAACGGACTAGTGTTACTCAATTAGCTGTTGCTCATCACATCCCTATAAAACCTTCCTCCTGTTCGTTCCGTGCTTTCTGGTATTTCCGTTTCTACTAGTCCGTCTATTTAGAAACACAAAAGCAACCAGAATAAGTCTACTGCATCCATTGAAACATTTAGGATCTTTATTTTTTCTCCATACTTGTTAAAAAACTCAAACAGTTTCTAAGCGTCTTACTTGGCAAAACCTCACGTTTGGCCTTATCATTTTCATTTAGCCCAATATGTGGAGACAAAGAGTCAAATACAACAACATACCGCCTTCAGAACACCTCACTCACAGGACTAAATGACCGTAGAGGTTAATATGACGCTAACATAATAAAACCTTACGTATAAAGCGCAAGTGAAAGAAAGTCATATCCAGTATTGGAAATCTTCCATCTTAAAAGTCATGTTGTTGGTCCATGTCTGAAACATGTCATTTTCTACATGGATGTATATGTGCACAATATTTCAGTCCATTTTCTTTGGAGATTGAGGTGTCAGAAAATGGGCGAATGTTTCTCTATGGGTAGTAGTATTATTGTAAGGCTACGGCCAACACAGGATTGACTGTAGCTTCGTAGCTGTAATTAATTTGGTGCGATTAAAATGGGAAAAAAAATAAAAACGAATCATCTGTTATCACCAAATGTTGTAAATTTCTATTGTTATAACGGGTTAATAGTCATCTTTCCCCTTTCGCTTTATATCTACATATGTTTTGGAACACTTAATTATTTTAAGCCGTGAGTATTTCGGATGGGTCCTAAATGGACAAAATGGCCATATGGTGCAGAAATACGTTTGTTTTGTTTGGCTTTTTGTATCATCATACTATATTATTAAATAGATGTTTCCTTACCTCATGATTCTTGTTGTTATTATAACGCATTATTTGATTTCAGTTTTAATATGTATGTAAATAGAAAACAGATGACAATTTTCATGACATGACATTTACGAAATTACCTTCGATCAAGTTTAGAGGAAATGGGACCAATTTTAAAATAATCTATAACATGAGTCTTTTTGTGAAGATAATTTAACGCCATAACTTTGTTTGTCACGGTAAAATATGTAATCTAAATGTTCCTTGTTATGTCATTGTCGGTATTGGTATACATGTATATATATACTCAATAACAAACAAGTATGTGAGGATGTTTTTTCACTGAGTCATGGCCGTATCATAATAATGCCTTCCGTTGAGGTCACTATCAGTATTGTTACATGATGTTTCTTATCAGACAAGTATGTGAGACTGTTTTAACATCTTTACAGTCATGTCATATTAACTTTTGTTATATTGAGGTTTGACCTATTGATCAAAACAGTGTTGATTAGTATAATACAATGTTTAAAACAATTTTGACTTGATTTACTATTTATTGGTTCGTTACTGTTCTGTTACAAGATATTGTATACATCTATTACATAAAGCTTGTCATACAGGTCAAATACAATTTTGAAAGGATAGATTTTCAAAGTTATTGTCATTTAAACTGTAAATTTTAACCAGTTAAAATTCAACAAATGTTCAAAGGCTGACAAAATATCATGTACCACGTATACCAATAAAGCGCTAGTTATGATGCTCTTGTTTTGCACGACGAGTTATCGCCCTTTCTACAAGGCGTATTGTATACGAAAACAATATGTGGCAAGGAGATTTAGAGATAGACAAAGAAGAAAAATATCTGTGAGATTAAAAACATAGCATTATTTATTTATAAGGATCGCTTTATATAGTTGAAGTAATTTCGTTTGAAAATATTCAATGAAAAGATTCCACCAGCAAAGCTTCAATTTACTGGAAACTTTCGAGAAAATTCGAAAAACAACTAACCCACTACATGTGTGGGCGATATGGTGTCAAAATCTTCTTGCCACTAGCACTAAGTATGCATATTACCTTAATCATGAACGTTTATGTTAACATGAACGTTTATGTTAACATGGACATGTACGAACTCATACTGTTGATGTAACAGTTATCATGGTTATCAAAGTTTATCGTTGACAATGCCGCAGCAACAAAGATGCATTGCCGAGTCGATATTTTTGCGCCAGCAAACACAAAGCAAAATCAATATCAGAAGATGTCACTTAGCATATGGCCATGTTTCTTACGATGACGTTCCGTGTTTAACATTGACAATGAATACGATACGATGAAATACAATTATTTTATACAATAATATTATCTTGTTACAATTTTTATACATTTCCATTTTGTCTTTAATCCAGAATCAAACATTTCTGAAAAAAAGACAATTAGCTTCTCGTGACAACTTAGCTCTGTCACTGAAATGTATGGTTTCGGCAGTAAGCACACGAACGGTCGTTGTTATTGTAAAATGTTTATCATGCAACAACGAACTGGTCATTACATCCTAGTCTTTACCTTGCCAGGGTCAACGCCATAGATCCGGTAATGTAAATACAACAATTGACATTACGGTCCTCTACATACAGTTAACGACTTGTACTATTTGAATGTCAAGGTCAATGTCACATGTTCTATAGTTGTGTGGTATGTGACATACTGTGCAATATTCCTCTCTTTGTGCTACTATGTAACATCCATATGTAGGAAAACGCCGAAGGCTTTAGCACATGACAGAGGATATTTTATAACATATTTGCTGAAATGCACTACATAGAGACATTCCTTCACTACGTTTTCTTCTTTTTATCCTTTTTCTTCTTTGCTTTGGCTGATTTGGGTTTCGCCCCAGAATTGTCTAGCTTTGGAGAGTCTTTCGATTTTGGTCTATTCTTATTTTTGTCCGTTTCGTTACCTTTCTCGACAACATTTCCAGTAAAACTAACGTGCGCATCACCGTTGCCATTTTCCTCGAATATTTTCCTGTTAAAAAAATGGAACAAGTAAAGAATATACAAAACCGAAAAATTCTAGCATTTATCATTGTTACCTGTCGAGTACCATACTATAGAATGATTGTGACGAAAATCCCCCAAAAATAAGCACATGAACGTACGAATGAAGGTTATGAAATTCCAATCCAAAACAGTGAATAACATATGCAGTGTTCAACAAAAAATGATACATGGGGTATTCCCCAAATATAATATACAACGACATACAAAGCCTCAGAAACGGAGGTCAAAACTTCAGTCTCCGTCGTTAGAACCGACGGGGAATGTATTGAGATATCAAAAATGGAAAATCTGATCTAATTGGTTAAGTGTTTCTGTCTTTATTTATCATTATAGATAGAAAAAAATCGTTAATAAATAACGATGATGAATCAAAGGAATATGTAAATGAAGTACAGTTCAGGAATAATTTGTTCTTCTACCTTCTTATTGGATTCGCAATGTATTTCTAATGGTGCGCGCATTAAGTATTAGTCACCTTCCTTGGTCAATATAATTATTTTAAAAAGCTAGGGCGAGGTTAATCCTCCCTTCCGTAGTTGATAAATGTTAACTTTACACATGCAGATGTAAATTCCCCGTTGTCAATCACTTACCAGTAACAAATGAAGCCATCAACTTCTAGCGTCCGAGTCAGTACAGTCATATGTTGGTCGGGGATGTCTATACCAGATCCCTTTGAATGTAGGAAAATTCAAATATTTAAGTCAAATTCAAATTTTAATGATTATAAATATTAAAGTGCAGAACTTACGCCAGGCTTTAAGAACTGCATTTAAAAGATATAGTTGAAAATATCGGAGAACTTAAAATTACTTTCATAAATATTTACGTTTTGGTTATTTCTTTATTTTTTAAAGTAAAACGATGTCTGTGGAAGAAGCGTCAATTGAAATCCAATTATATCAGTAATGTTATAGATTGATTACAATAAATCATGAACAAGTTACAAGCGTCATGTATGTATCCATATTGATTATAATCGTAAATCGATAACGATGTTTTCAATTATCGTTATCATTCCTTATCATACACTGTGAGGATTGACGATAGTGTTTCCTTTATTAAGGAGGCCAAGGGGGTTTTAAAATTGAGGTTATATATGTGGTATTATATGGTGTAGCCACTAATTCCTACCACAATAGAGGTTGGTATAGACCACAATATTGAAGTTCTTGATGCCGTCTGTACACCTTCAATGATAATCTACCCCTTGTCATAAGGACTTATCGAGTGGTGCGTGCGTTATTGAAAAGGACTAAACACTTGGACTTGTTCCAGTTCCAAATGAATTACACTTATCCATCAAGCGCTCCATTGAATAGGATTAAAGTCTCGGCTTTGGGGATCAAAGGAAATATTATTATTAGTTGCCAATAACCGGCACATTGTTTTATTCAAGGTTAGTGTTTGTGTTTTAAATTGTGTGACACTCTGCCAAAAGAGATATTTTGAAACACGATATTGAACACTTATATAAAATAACCTTTTATCAGGCTGCCATTCGAGATAAGATACTTTAATTGGCCCTTTCAATGTCGCTTTTTGACGACATTCCTTGTAAGAAAGGTTTCCTACATTGTCATTAAATATCAAAATTTACTCTTTAATTTTCTCTCATAAATAATAAAATTGTATTTGTACCATCCAGAAAATATATACAGTTGATGAAACAATCTTATTTATTTCATTGGGGTCTATGTTATCTGACATTCGTAAGATCAATAAGCATTTGTTTAAAAATAAAATGATATAGGTACATTGTATGCTTTTGTTTGGTACCTGTGTGCGCTCATTTATGAATTACTATTTGGAGTGGGGGATGCATCGCCATCTATTCCTCAGCTACACCATGGATATACACCAATATTCTTAATTACTTACCTTGATAAGACTCTTGAATTCTGAAGCATCAATTTTTACTTTGTTTTTGCAATTAAAAACATCTTCTAGGTTAACTGCTGAGAACTCTGCATATTTCTTAAATGTTTCAATGGGATCTCGTCGAAATGCACTTAATCTGGCGTAATTTCCGTTTTTGGGATGCACTTCCGGAAGTACTCCCTCATTTACAACACGCAGACCTCTGCTTTCTGATAATCGGGACTCGACCTCAGCAAATTCTATTTTCACCATCATATTCTGAAAAGATACAGTATCTTCATGAAAGTATGTTAATATTATTTCATGCAAACTGAAAATCCAATACTCTGTTGAGGCATTTATGTTTATATATACATGTATATCAATTTTTAATTTAGTTCCATTGATGTTTTTCTAACTTTAAGTTTTTAATCTACAAGAATGTATAATACTTACGCTAAAGTCGAGGTAAGTTATTGCACTGTTTTCGTTTTGGTCCACGGCTTGTAGTATCGCCATAGCTCCGTTTGATTCAAATGGGTTGTTTCCGATCTACAAAAAAATGTTACCTTTTGTTAACAAGTATTCTTCTAAACATTAGTAATACATCTGTATCCTAAAATTATAGTATATTGCAATATTGCCAAGTAAGATTCAGCATTACAATGAATGTTTCTATAACCTAAATAAATAATAGTATTTTACAAAAAATGTTGTTTCCGGTGAAACATTAAAAAGGTACCATTTTGCCAATAAAATTGGCAAAGGTCGATGGATAATAAAATATCTTAAAATTTAAATCGAACTGTTAAGAAACTTAAAACGAACGGAAGGACATTATGAAACCTCATTTACAATGTTAATATATAATGTTTGATACCTTTAACGTTTTAAGGGTGTCATTTTCTCTGACCCCTGCGGCGATCGCCCCAGATGCCTCTATCGGTATCCGGTTAAAACTGATATCAAGCTCAAGAAGTGTACGGTTCTGCTTTAATGCCGCGCCCATCGCCTCAGCCCCACTCTTTCCCAGACCGGCCATCACAAATTTGAACCGCTTCAGACCTACGTTTTCCTACAATAACAAAACAAATAATTTGAATCTTTATTTACATCAACAAATTACCACGAAAATATTTGTTTATAATAATTTGCGTAATGATACCTTATTCGCTGATTGGAGCGATTCCTTGATTGAGATTTTTATATTAGAGCATATAAAGAATGTCCATTTTCTTTCTTATTCATATTAAGGTATATTACATTGTAGATTAATGATCTTACTTGTAAGCCCTCACAAATGCAGATTGCACCTCTTGTCTTAAACTGATTCCAACTCAGGTCTAAGATCTCTAGGTTCTCATTATCGGTGAGAGATTCCTTTAGCCACTTCGCACTGTTTTCTTCTAAACAGTTATTGGCCAGAATGAGTTCTTTTAATACTGGGTTTCCCTGGGGAAAAACAAAAAACATTTAAATATCTTTCTTAACCGTAATATTGTTTAACAAGTTTCTGAATATACCATTGATAAACGATAAAGAACTTTTCTTTGAAGTGGAAAATGAATCTATTAAGTCATTACATTAGAGTCCAGGGCCCGTAGTCATGAAACCGTTATCATGCTCAAGCACGGGTTTTGTACACAAACCAACAACTTGTAACACGCTTAGATCACGTCTATCGATCAAATAGTGTCAAATGTAAACATTGAAAGCAGTTGTTGGCTTTAAGTCTCTTCAAAATGTTTCCAAATTAATGACAAGATAAGGTTAATTTATTTATGAAGTTATAGCCAGAACAAGAAATTAGGCTTGAGCACAAAATCCAAGCTTTAGTATGAGAACGGTTTTATGAGTACGGGCCCCGGTTTTATTAACACCAATATATTATGATTTTATGGAGTGTAACTGGACCATGCCAATACCCTAATATGTATTTCGTTTTTAATTGACATAAAAAGTCGATTATGTTTTCTAGAGTTTGAGTAGTTTTGTATGATAGTTAGTTTGAAAGTGTTATAGCTTCAACATGTACAGAGGCCGACATAGACACACAAACTCTTTACGAAAGGCAAATAACAGGAACGAGTTAAAAACAAAACATATCTAAAGAAATCATCACATAAGTAAACTATGTTTGCCTCGTCTTCCAATGCTATTGTTACCATTCTCACTATGCCTTTTATTTTCGTAATTATTTTGTCAAACATAGGATGAATACGTACTTTAAGTACTTCATATAAGCATTGTCCTGCCGAGTCACCGATTTCATTTGCTGAAATAGAATATAAACTAGATGTGTATACCGCAATAGCTTATGCAAAGAATAACTTTTTCTCAAGGGCTGCAGTTATATTTATACCTAATAATTATAATTCTAAAAACAAATTGAAATGGTATATTGTTATTACCTGAACATATCACATTATACTCAATGACTGATTTATTGCTAATTTAAAGATTATGATCATTTTCGGTGGAGAAGGCACCATACAACGCTCGTGAAACTTAATAATACTAGGTAAATACGATATGTCATTTATTATGTAATGTGCTTTCACATATTAAATGGCGCCCGTTAGATATCATTAAGTTTATCCGTTACTCACCCGTGAGGTCGACCTTGTACAGATTTCTGTTTCCTTTTAAGAATTGACATAATGAAATGGCGCCTTCAGTTCCAATTTTATTTTCTGATAGCACCTGAAGAACATACATGATTAACAATTAGCTTCTGCATAATATATGTCATAGTCATACAATACATCTGAAATATCTGATCGTGATCAGGGAGGTTTTGTTTGATACTTTCTTATCTAAAACATTGTGTCGACGGTTCTTGTGAAAGGCAATGAAACATCACTAGCAATAAGCTGTGGTAAATTAAAATGCATACGGCAATAGGACTACATTTAAACTAATTGAATATTGCTAAATCAAGATAGAATTCAAGGTATTATACGTAACGAATAAGCGTATTGATATTTTATAGAATGCATCTTCCAATCAAGATAAAAATACTTTCGACAGTCAATGTGAGTAGAATAATTATTCAATACATTAATAGTAATCTCTACCTTTAATCTCGTTCTGTCTGGAATATTTGAAATATCCCTCCAGCTAAGTGTAAATTCTATTCGTATTGATTACATAAGTGTATAGCTTCAGGATCAGTTATCAACTAGTCCATTATTATTTCTTATTCCTGAAGACAGACGTTCCTAAATGACTTCAGCTGTAAATAGGACGTAAACCCTGATAAAACCAAACCATTCTGAAGACAGTACATTTAAATGTGTTTATTCGGGAAAATGGTGATTATGTTGATTATGACGTCAATAAATATATAAAGCTTCGGTTTTGTTCATAAAGATTTTAACAAATTTCCATGATTCACAAACATTAGAACTATTTTGTTACATTGATAGCACACACCTGGAAGATCCTTTATAGAAATTTGTTTTTTCAATATTATTTTGAGTTAATGAGGTGCCGTGTGGCCTAACTTTCCCAAAACGGAGTGCAGCCCAATAACTAATAAAGATAACAAATTATTACAAATAAGTGATTGAAGCAACCTCAAAATTTGACAACAAATATAGATACTGAATTGTCAATTACCGCCATTCCTATGTTCAGATGTTTATATTTATGTGCCGTATTTTTTTCATATAAACACGTGTTGATATCTGATGTATACAAGGTAAGCTAATTTATTATGCATTATAAATGTACAGCACCTATAACTGTAAGATGTATCGCGTATGATGTGCCGGTGACCTCTAGTGTTAGCTTTACGATATCTTACGTATTTTGTTACCAGTTTTTGTAGCGGACCGCATATAAAATCAATTACTATTTTTACATAAAATTTAAACCTCATTCTACATTTAAATCGTTTACATTGTATGTATTAACGGTTTACTGGAGTCGTGATATTGTGTTGTTAAACGGTCAAAGAATGAATGAGTGGGCTCTGACATGTCAGCAAAGGCTGTTAAACAAATGGCCTTTAAAGAATATCCTTATCTCTAAAATATGGCTACATCATAGTTACAAATATACAGATCTCGCGCAGGCGTATGGCTTCCTATTATTGAGGACACGATCCTCATTGTGGTAATATTTGTTAACCGACCCTAGGGGTACTTTGTCCAAAGGTAAACAGCTTCTGACATTTAAATAACATAGTTCTACATCCTGACATAAACCCAACACTGAGAGCTTTATTAATACAACTCTCGTTAAGATTAAAATGAATCAAAGTTGTATATCAATTCGATATATTCCGTCCTCACCAAAACATTTACTAATACAATATTACAGGAAGCTGCTTTTGTCTACTAAGATACGGAAAGCATGTATACTGATAGTCTTATTGAACTTCAAAAGCACCGATCTCTCACGAAAGCCTGTTGTTGATAAAGATATGTGAAACAGCCACTGATAGTATCCGTGCAGAATGCGTCGTCATCCGATAACTACTTCAAAACTTAATCTTTTCTCCATAGAAACTCCAACAACAATGTTAAATCACATCTTTTCTCCTGTTCATGTTCCATCAAGCTTTTTTTTCTAGTGTGAGTCACATATTTTGATATATTGGATACACTTCAACTGACTTTCTCACTTGATAATTGTAAATGATTTATTAAATTTCAAAGTCCATGTGTATACTTTTGTTTAATATCACACAAAAATATCTATTAAACAATATAACGGAAAGTGTGTGTACATCTGATCTTTTGTCCATTCTCTAAAGAATATCTACGAAATATTTGTATCCACTTATTGATATATATGTAAAAGATGTGCATTGATAAGGTTGCCTTACAAGCGTCAGCTGTAGGGAATTTCCCTTTATCTCAGCGGTAGAGCATCGGGCTGGAGAGCCAAGGATCGCGGGATCGAGCCCCAGCGACGGCACTATCTTTATCATTGTTCTGCGTCCTTTACATATATATGTTTCGACAGAGTCAATTAATCTGTAGTTTGTAAGGTGTCATTTGAAATACGTGTATAAGGCTAACTTAATTATAGATAGAACAGATTGTAGTAACTATTACATACCCAGTGTTTAGCTTAAATTGTTAATAGACCGATTCTATGACAAATTTGCATCTTAACATTAAAAGACTGATTTTCAAACTATGCTTCCTGTTATGATACAGGCATTGTGTGTTGAATATATATAATCAAACAACGCATGGAATGGACAGAATATCACGATCGTAGGAAGGAACGGATAACGCGTACAGCAACCATCATCATAAACCGAAGACAGGGACCGCTGGTTACATCACTACGATCAGCGAGACGACTTTTATTTTCCGAACGTGAACTTTCCCTTTCTTCATACAAACATCCATGCCTTCCCATAAATGGTATTCAAGGTTCTTAATTGCAAGATTACGTCACAGATGTCAACGGCTGACGGACAAATGAACAACACATGGTTTTGAGGGATGCATGTTTATGAAGACCACGGCAATTTTTTGGAAACTATGTGCAAAGTTTATGGCTACAAAATGCACTATCATTGTAAAATATTCTATTTCCATCTACTATATGAAGATCGATGGCTTTTTAATGCTCAATTAATTTCTTTTTGGTTCCTTTTTACTACATCGGGTATCACTCTGAGGACGGTACATTGTTGTATTTGACCTAGATTTACATGGAGGATGTCGACGATAAAGTAGAAGACACTCATCCTTCTACAACACCTTGTCATATTCTCCTTGATTTTTTTTAATGGCTTCATAAATATATTTTGTATAAAATGTATATCGGTTTGAAATCTTGCTTTTAAAATTGATAAATATTCGGTTTTATTGTTTATAACAATTTCAGGTACATATTTAGTCTAAAAGTTATGTTTAGATTAATAAAGCTACATATATGACTTATGAGAAGTTCATTTTACACAACCAATAACATGTTCTATATGACGTTTCGATGATTAGTACAATATGTACACTGTCACCTTCATCAGACAAATGACCAATGAAGCGTATGCACACAAAGGTGTAAAATGTGTACGAGTTGTCCATAAAATCTATGTCGATTTCGGCTACGCTGGAAACGCATGTACAATAGTTGTTATATATATACCGAAATGACTCAATTCAGCTACGCTTTGTTAACACTTGGTCAAAGATGTGCGAGAGTCTTTGAGCCCCCTCGTCTCTATTTAGAACTCTAAAGACTCTGTTAACAAAGCGTAGCTGAATTGAGTCCTTTAGGTACATATATAACAACTAGTGTACATACGTTTCTAGCGTAGCCGAAATCGACATCGATTTTTTGGACAACTCGTACACATTTTACACCTTTGTGTGAATACGCTTCATTGTTCATTTCATGAAGGTGACAGTGTACATATCGTACCTGTAATCGAAACATCACATAGAAAATGTTATTAGTTATGTAAAAAGAACTTCTCATAATCCATACTGACCAACATGAAGAAAATGTTTAGAAACTACATTTATGACGTAAATAAGACCAGTCGGGTTTACTTTCTACACAACCGGAAGGATATCGTATGAAACATTCGCGTGATACATATATCATTACGTAGAGAAGCTTCTTCAAGCCCAAATATCAGCTTACGACAAGAGTAATGTTTACAATTGACAGTGGCGTACATTGTAAAATTATCAAACTTCGAAGTATTTATCTTTATTTACAACTAGACAGCAATCATAAATATAATTGAAATATATAGAATATTGAAAGTGTAACGCTACAGAAAAACGCCATAAACAAAGCATAGTAAACATCACCATCGAGCGAATAACATGACATAAAACTACTACAGAGCTACCTTGAATTACTCGTTATAACGTATACTGAGTCTTTAGCCTGTTGTATACGTAAGAGAGATACATGTAAAGATGTTTTCATATCAAAGTTGAGATGCTTACCACTTCTGTGAGGAATAGGTTTTCCCTCAGGACTCTACACAAACTTTTTGCTCCTTGTGCGTCAATGCCATTCCCTTGCAGATTTAGGATTTCTATGTTTGTATTTGTCTAAAACAAAATATTTAAAAAATATATTTCATATTTTCACAATTTTATTTTTTGTGCAAGTGTTTCAACCATTTAATGTAGTCTTAAATTGAATAGTAGAATTTGGATAGGTATACAGGCATGAAGAGAAGCGGCTTGAACACAAATCCAGTGAAGCGTTGTATAGTATTAGTATTTACTTCCAACCAATCTATTTAGATTATTCAACAAATTTAAACTTATACCATTCCTCAGGTCTAAAGAAGTGTTCGTCAAAACAATCACTCAATGGTACCACAATAGGATCTTTTTGACGTTTTATCAATGACGTCATAATATCATGGCGTCATATTTAATGAAGTAAAATAATTTGCCATCCAAAGACTTTATATACATTGAATAATAAATATATATACAGTGGTTGCAACGGAAGTTGTAATATAAATACTGGATGAGGGTTTATTTTCTAAATGACATGAATTTCTCTATTAATTTTTTGAAGCATAGAAACCGTCTTTTTCGGTCTAAGTTCAGTGGTAGGAATTCGATTTTGTAGTCTTCCTTAACGAATTGCTCACATATCTAATATAACCCCAAGTCACTTTTTACAAATATATTAAACTGAAGCTGATGAAAGATCACTTTCCAGTACCCTCATTTATTGACATTTGAAATTTGTAATGAAAATCCTGAGAAAATTTGCTATTGAGCTAAAACGCAGTACAACGTTAACTTGTTGGTAAGTAGTTGTCAAGAAATGTTACGTACTTTTTGCTGCATCATTACACACAAATACATTGTAAGTAAACTTATTATGCTGTTTATTTAGTCCACTATTAGCTGCTCTATTTAATACCCCAAGCATTTTATGTTGCTCCATAAACGAAATCATGTTTACCTTTACAAAGATTACGAAGCATAAATTATGTGCCAAGTACATGTAGGTATACTATATCACGTACAGGGACAACCTGTCAGTGCATAGTGGGATGTATTTGGGAAAACCTGAATCCAATGCTTAAACGTATTTCTGTTATACCAGAAATTGTCTACAATCTGTATCAAAACCTAAAACGTCGGGGTATATTGGTCTGTGTTTGCTATGGGGAAGGTAACTGAAACTGAAATCTTAAATCCCATCAAGTTGTTAACAGTTTGTTTCCAATTCTGTACGACACCTGAAGCTGTAAGGTTACCGTACGCAAAAGTAAATTTGTTTTCATGCAAAACAGTATAATTGAGCTACTGCTTATTTCCAAAGATACATAACTAGTTATAAGGTTGTATCAATTGAGATCAATACATACCTCCAAAGGAATCGATATTGCTTTAATTCCAAGTGGCCCTAGTCCGTGAAATCTCATTTTAAGTTCTCTTTGCTCCAAGTTCTTAACAAAATACGACACTGGGCTTATTCCCATGTCGTTGCACACTTTGATATATTTTGTCCTTCCTGTAGTGTCGTGATCTACCTTGGAGGGATTTAGCCATTCTGAAAGAAATGATATTACAAGTGTAAATGTGCTATTTCTATAATTCTAGGCATAATCAATAATATGTGTTTGTCGGATACAGATAGAAGGTAATCCGCTGAAAAGTATAGGTGCTTTTGTTTATTAAAAACGAGAAAACATTTCCCTGTAATTTCCTTTGACTCCTTCCTAAAACAGCTGGTATACTGTTCACAGAAACTCCTCTGTATCACCATTTCACGTGTGAGAAATTATGTACATCGTTCTTTCTCATCTTCAATAGGTCTTCTCAGAGTACAGAATATGATTTCAATTCCAGCTTGACAGGGCTTACCAAATATTTGACAAATAGTTAAAGGTATAACCACCATACGCAACTTTGGATTAGTTTTTTTACACGTTGCATCTCAAGAGAGGGACCCTAGTTACAAGTCGAGGTAATGAAAAGCTGCTTTATGAATCTCATTCATTTGTATTGATAAATATCTCTATAGTTCAGTTATAAAATAATTTAACGGAATAATGTCTCAACAAATGCTTCTTACCATTCACACATATTTCATTTTGCAACTTATCTTGTTCCACCTATTGACTTTGCGAGAATGTCATATCTCTTAAATAGATATATTTGTTCACGTGATATTTGAATTAACGAAATAATGATCACGAGAAATACAATTGACATTAAGGTTACTTACGGTCGTCATCCATCTCCAGGTCTGTGTCAAAATCGTCAGTAGGTATTGACAAACTTCCATCACTGATAGAATCATCGTCCAAGCTGTTATCGTCATCAAGGAAGCACCCTCCATTAATGGCTATGTTAAGTGTGATATCCTCTGAGGACACATGTTCCTGGTCTGGTTTTGTTTCCTGGTCCGACCCGTCGGAGTCGTTTGCAGCCTCTGTCATGAAAGCCTGCCGACTCGATCCCCTCGTACCAGGTCTGGGGATGTACTCGTCTAGTGTCGGTGGTTTGGGGTGTGTCTCCTCTTCCTCTCCTTCCGGATTTTCGAGCAGGGGCGATAACACCCTTCTCTGTAAGTCGGATCCAACTGACAGGTAAGCTGTCATTGTTATTTCTATTGTATATGGTGAATAAAGTCAAACTGAAACTGCTTTCTTTCTGTTAATCACTTCTTCATAAGTGTCAGCCAACCCATCGGGCCAACCTGTCTACGTGTTTTCTTTGGAGCTCATCTTGTGACCTGAAAGAAAGAAAAGTATACTCATATCAGTGGCGTATGAATCGATGGTTCCGTTATTGAAACCCTACAACAGAATATCCTCGTTATTACATACAACACACTGTTACCTTTACACGCGGATGAAGCGCTTACAGAAATCGCTGGTATACAGAAGTCATATTAAATTCCTAATCTTTTCATAGATCATGTCGTCTTGATATCATACCGGGTTTACTTGACGGCCTGAAACTTTCTGGTTTACTCAATATTGATTCAAATTGATCCCTAACATTATTACTTAATTCAGCGCCTCGGTAAAAGGTTATCTACAAATGATAATATATTCACACCTGAGAAAGTGTTATTTACACCTATCTGTATACACATAATCAACACCCGAAGAAAAATAACCTGCCATATCCGTGTACGTGCAGCGTCAGGTATGTTTATCGCTCCATGCTAGCAAATGATGAATCCGAGATAATCACCCAGCATTTCAAAATCAAATAACGGACCATTAGTTTAAATTAAGAAATCTCCTAACGACTTTGGACAGTTGCACTCGAAGACATCACGATACATCGATAAAATTGTCATCACAAATCACCTCGTCGCTGTTTCGTGCAGAATGTGAAGCGTGCCGTACGGCGGCGCTAACGGCGATGTCGCGTGATGACCTGCCTTAAATTCGTTATAGCAGATATTTTGCTCCAGTGGATGTCGTTTTAGACGTATTTGTGTATTAACACGTAATTAGTTGGTTTGTGTAGTGTATGTAACTGCCAGCCCCCGTGACATATCGATGTTTCCTGTATTGGATTATTGACGTACTACATTCCTTATTAACCCCTCTGCGTCATACATTTTATATACCTTTCTTGAACTATGTTCATATATAGATAATCTAATATTGATTGGGAAATCATGAAAAATATGTCAATTAACGGTTGTTTGTTTTCATATTGATAATCAACAAATCGTTATAAACTTTAGTCTACCTTTCACCTGTAACCTTTATATAGGGTAACGTCTACCAAATCAATAGCAAGGTATTGATACAACCAGCAAATAGAAAAATATTTTATTATAACAAATGTCGTCATGAACCAACCATTATGCAAAAGAATCAGAAAAATACTTGAAGAACTAACGTTTTGTTTAACATATTTCACTTGTACAACAGGTATTTTTATTGTTGATTTGTTGTTTGGCGTTCGACAACGTCACAGCACACATAAGTATAAATCTATGACGAATGGTGTCAGCTATGTTATTGATAAGATGGCAATTCTACCCGATCATTGATGTTGATTCCAAACCAAACGATACTATGTTAGTGATAAGATGGCAATGCTCCCCTATCATTGATGTTGAAGCCAAACCAAACGATACTTTGTTATTGATAAGATGGCAATGATACCCGATCATTGATGTTAATGCCAAACCAAACGATGCATTGTTATTGATAAGATGGCAATACTACCCTATCATTGATCTTGATGCCAAACCAAACGATGCATTGTTATTGATAAGATGGAAATGCTACCCGATCATTGATGTTGATTCCAAACCAAACGATACTATTTTATTGATAAGATGGCAATGCTCCCCTATCATTGATGTTGATGCCAAGCCAAACGATACTATGTTAGTGATAAGATGGCAATGCTGCCCTATCATTGATGCTGATGCCAAACCAAACGATACTATGTTACATGATTATATCATCTTACTTGATATTGACATATGTACAATGCCATATTGGAAAAACTGTCTGACTCGAAGCGTGTATCACCTTGTACTGGGTATCACACGACATAGCAATTACCTGGTATACTGTTACATACAGCCTTTTTAATTTATTCAATTATATTACGTACCTGTATACATGTATTTTACGATTGATACATGATAGTGAACTAGTTAGTTTAAAATTACTACTGAACTCGGCCACGAACCTGTGTTGTGTAGATGTGATTTGGTTGACAACAAGATAGTACATGTTTAAACGAAGGTTGAATGTTTTGGCGAATTGACTTTTACATTTTCTGTAAAATTTGAAAAGTTCCAAATATATATAATAATAAGCATAATGAAAGACTCTATCATTATTTAGTCAATCTAAGTAGTTTCAATATGTACATGTACACTACGCATAATAACACATAACAAATGTTATACATAACTGACAAAACAAAATGCGTTTTCATTTTGAAAATAATTCCTTACCTTACCAATCAATTTACCCTGATAAGACAATTTTGTAATAGGTATGAACTTATTCTTTTCCCACGAAAGTCTATTATATCTAATATCAAAAAAGCTAAATGCGATCAGCTAAGACCTTTAAGGCTTAACCTACCTGATCTGAGGTTCGTTTCATATCTCCAAGATGATGGTATAAGAAGGGGACACCTGTACGTGAGATCCCCGAGTGTGTATACACAGGTATATTCCCAAACTGTCTTCGCTATCATGTTCATCCCTTTCACTTTCTTTCCGTAATAATATGAAGACATTTATCAAATACTGACGGTCCTAACTAATCCTACTGCCATATCTGTCACTTTAAGTATTCTATATATTCGGTCTTTAAACACTTTCGGCTGTTGTAGGTAACAAAGCCCACCTCTGTATATACCTGGTCCTGTAACGTGTGCACATAACAAACATTGTCCTTTAAACATGGAAATTCAAACTTTAAACATTTGCGTCCAAATTTTGTACAAAAATTGATAAATCGATATATTGTGTGAATTCAGCAGCGTGTCGTGTTCGTGCAGTCTGGATCAGGGTCTGTGTCAGTCACAGGTAGACTTCGACGAATGTGCACTGTTTCTACACGCGCCGTATACACAGGATAACTGTTACCTTCAGTACAGCTCCCTAACATCCTGAACAGGTTACGCCGACACCCTTTCGTAACTCAAGTAGCGGCTCAAGTCCTGACGGAATGTTTGTATATCTTATAGGTGGAGACATGTTGATTTACTAACGGCCAATATTAGGAAAGTCAATCAACGTACAATTTATCAGTTTTGGTTCTGAAGGCGCTGTGCAGTTCAACAGGCGCTAATATATGATTGGTTTTAAATTAGGTTCGTGAATGGTTACATATCGACTTTGGAGTGTGTGTAAGTGATAGGTTTGTCAGGGTATTATCATACAGTATCGACCAGATACCGAAAGGAAACACGAACCGCATCTAAAACGTTGACATAACTCTCAAGTAGTATTAAAAGTGCGTCTCGTGTAGTAATAGAACATAGAAATAAAACCATCATTGTTTTATAGTTTGTATTCAGGACAAAACATATCTTTATGATAAAGTATCCCATGTTTACGTAATTTTCATAGTTTTACCGTAAATATCAGGTTAAGTGTATAATCGCTCGGCTTGAGTTAAAATCTTCTTAAGTTTATGTTGTCTCTCCTTTGCTTGTGGTATCAGAGGTTTGGGTTCTTGACCACCACCATTATATTGTATTTTGATACACCGGTAATTACGTACAATTTTTTTGTTTTCATCCTCAGTAAGAAAATCTTAATTCAAAACATTTATGCTTAATTGCAATTCTAATAATGATTAAAATGTCGTTTAATGTTAAAAGGAACAGTAGCCCAAAGCAAGAATATAGTGACCGATGTTTTCATGTGTGTGACTCTTTTAAATGACGGTAATAAGGATTAATGATATCCTTACTTCGTTAATCTAGCGTAATCCTAGCGATCACAAAATATTCAGTACTGATACGAGATATAGAAGAGGATTAATATAGAATCTATAGGAGCTTATTGAAAACATTTTATTTCATTGCTTTGAATACTTTCTTAGTAAAAACTGGTCTAGAGACAAAACATTGTATTTGTTTTAAAATAAAGGATTCTATATATATCGGCAAAGTATATATAACTTTTTATATAATATTTAGAGTGCTACACATCTCGCCTTTCCCTCTCAACAGAGCCGATTTGGATTCCAAGCCTTTTGGCTCCTAAACATCAGTTGTATGGTGCAGTAGCATTCAGTGTTGACATACTATATATTGTAAAAGTTTTCACGTGCAATCACAAGTGTGTAACACTATCAGAGCATTTATGTGTAAGTTTGTTTTGAACACAAACAGGAATTGAAAACTTTATTTTACGAGCTTTCGAAAACGTCTGTTTCCTTTGTCAGGCAAAGGGTACCACAGGAAACAGGCGTTTTCGGAAGCTCGCAAATTAGGTTTTTTAAATTCCTGTTTGTGTTCAAAACAAACTTAGTGTTTATTGTTCATCCCCAACTGATTGATCTCACTCCGAAAATTTGATATCTTATACTTTATTGTGACAGCACATTGCTTTATATGCTATTTTATTACAGAAAACATTACTGAATGCTCAATGGCTGTGTTTTATTTATAACTGCTCGATGTATGTGCCGTTGTCAACCCTACTCGCACCAACAAGTAGCACGTTTTTAATAAAGAGATAAACATATTTAAACCAGGAAGATAGCATAGATGTCAATAAAGACAGGACAAATTTCACCTCGATGGTCGATTATATAGAAAAATAAATTTAAATTATATAGAAAAATGAATTTAAATTATATAGAAAAATGAATTTGTCAAGTAAGACTTATTTGGAATTGTTTTTTAAATCAAGAAGAATTTGGTACATGCCAATATCAGTAATGAAATGTAGTGTATACTTATTCATATGTTATCTTTTTCATTAATATATATAGATTTATGTCTATCGAATTCTCATATCGATTCATATTTGATTGAATCTTAAAATGGCATCATACCAAGTCACCTACATGCTGGAAACTATATATATGCATGGATGGATTAAAGTTTTAGTCTAACACGCGGTTTTCAGGATTTGGATGAAGATACGAAAATAATATAGAAAACAGAACAGACACATCAGGAAAACCTACAGTCATGGAATACCAGAAATAAACGGAATACATCATTATTACAACGAATAATCCATTTCCGTCATTTTGCTACAGTCCTTGTGTTTAACGTTCAAAAGAATTAAGATGAAATTTCCTATGCATAAATTAACATCACACCTTACTAGCTACTGATGATACTTGCTTTGATATATTAGGATAATAACTTTGATGGTTTTAAAAGAAGCTTCAGAGGCATGGCGACAATCTCTGATATTGAGTTTCAACATTCTATACAAAGCTTGTACATTGCACATCTAATCATAATCACACGTTGGTTTAGATTTTTGAGCTATGTGAAATGTCGAGAGCCTTTAACATAGGGATATCAGGATAGCACTCTTAGTTGGCAGCAGCTATTAAGCCTGCTATGGTCCACATGAAAAACGGCCATCTTTCTATTGAAATATCAGATCCTTTAAATGTGGCCTTTTGATCCGAGGTATGTGTTCCATTGTGTCAGGGACTGTCGTCGTAAGCTACATAATGGGTGTCATTTGGATATAAGATAGGCCTCTAATGTGCTATATAAAAGCAATGATAGAAGGCATACCAATATGTAAAGGACTGTCCTTTGTATATATGATATATTTGTAAAAAGGGTTTTAACATACGACAGGGTATAGCCAAGTGTTTGTAACCCTTGTATCACTAGGAGTTGGAGAGATAACAGAAACAGATATTTTACACTCTAGCACTAGCATTGTCCTGTGTGTACGATACATGTTGGGTATACATGTACGGTACCGGGGGCCATGTATGCTTAGTTCGGTCAACAGACAAAACCCTCATTTACATATTAGATATATAAAGTATATATTTAAATCAAAATCCATTAAAAAGCATGTCAAAAACGTATTAGTCCAAAGTTTGCATAAACATGAAAAACACATTAATTTTTTGAAAATTTCTGGTCGTTAATTTGTTTACTTTCAAATCAAAATTTGAACATGGTGTTTATTTTGCAAGAAATAAATCACCTTACACAACACCTCCTTTTAATGTAAAGTACACTATGTAGGTCAGGGCGGATAAGATGTTTTCCTTTTTAAAAAAGTGTCATGAAAATAAAAAAAAATAAAAAAATAAACCACTTTAATAACCGTACATCATCTTTTTGAGAGGGATGTATGCGATATAGATGCCCTTTGAGATCTTTGCGACAGCCAACTCTATTTTCTATCTATAGAATCCTATATGGTTTTCCTCTCTAAGAATATTTAAAAAAGAGACTAGGAATTTTGGAAACGAATTTATGATCGTTTTTTATCAAAAATTAAATACATTTATTTTTTAAATATTGCATAAAATAAGTTACTCCAGGTCAATGTTTAGGTATAAAATTCTGCTAAAAGGTGTGTGTCCATCTTAGTGGTCCTAGTTGTCACGTCGTAAAAGAATCAAACGTTTGTCACTTCATTTCAGTTTCACCTGATGACGTCGAAATGTCAATTAACATTTGTTTATTTTCAATAAATTTGACATGTGTGAACTTATTGAAAAATACTGAAATCAAATAATACATATAAAATAAGACATATAACAGGCATAAGGCATGTTTTGTACGTCATCAGAGGCAATTGAGAGGTTGTTTTATCTTTCAATCTAATTTTTTAATTTAAACATTCTTAATTTTTATCCAGATATTGTCTAGCACCATTAATCTCTGCAGGGTAAAAGGTTAATCAGACGAAACCCCAAGTATAGGAATATACAAAATTAGGAACCATTGGTATTAACATTGATAAAACGAATCCTAAAAGTTATCTATAACGATATCAAGATACCAAAAGTCAAACAAAGTAAACACTTTTCTACAACATAATGTCATATCGTCTAATTGGGACCCATCATTAGTACGTAAGGTCAGATGAATTAAATTTAAAAAAATAACCAATAATACATTATTTATTTTAGTGGTCAAAACAATATGTAAAAACAGCTAAAAGGGAAAGATGCCTATCTATGACGTCATAAACCAACGACGACCTCAGTGACATTTAGCCTGTTACACAACACAGCATGAAGTGGAGTTCGGTAACAGTATAAGTTATAACTAATAGCATTACAAAATTGACTTATGTCCTAATTGAAACTTTAACAATATATGTAAAGTGTAATCATTTAATCATACAAATGCATTTTGTTCTCAAATTACGATCATACAACATGGCTTCCTTTAATTGACTTTCTTCCTGAATAGTTCATCAATCATGAATATACATGTTTATCATATATATATAGTGTGGATATTGAAATGTCAATTTCCACATGAATCGATTCTCATGACAGAGGGGATCGTAGGAATCTGTATCAATACGAGTCCTGTGTCGGATTGCCGTCATATTGTATTCAGAAAAGGGGGATTTTATTATTGTCACTTAAAATGTACTTCAGTCAAAGATATCTATATAATGTGATATATAATTTACAAGTAGTCATACTAGTGTGTATAGTTTACCTGTATCACTATCATGGCAATCTCAATTAGACTATGGTTTAAGTGTGTTTTATACATTAGCATTGATTACTTGACGTCCTTGGCCGTAACTTAAAGTTTTAAAACTTACCTCAAATGGAAGAAATGGCGATTTGTTGAAGAAAAACACTTTTGGCACAAAGTCCACGATTGTATGTAACGTTTGTTATAAAAGCCCAGTGAGTGTTGTGTATTTTGATGTCGTTTCTCCGTCACCTGAACCTGTCGTACACTAAAGCCCTGTAGATTACACCACAACAGTCCCGATCGTATCAAAATCTCGGTCATGTGACCAAACCTTCGCAGCTCAATTCTATTACAGAAATATCATACACAGTTTTAAGAACACACAGGTAATGAGACGAAGGGTATTGATAACTAGTTAATCCCTGTAGTGATTAGTGAGAGAATTAAAGCAGGGTCACATGGATTAAATACTTGAGTAAATAACTGTATACCTTTGGCT